GCATGATTTCCCTTTACAAAAACTAGGTTGACTCTTCCCCAACAAATCATGTTCATCTATGTATCTGATAATTCTGTTCTTTACTATAGTTTCAACCAATTTGCGCCTGGTACCGAAGTTAGGTTTACCAGCCTGTAATTGCTGGGATCACCTCTGGAGCCTTTTTAAAAAAATTGGCCTCACTAGCTATTCTCCAGTCATCTGGTACAGAAGCTGATTTAAATGATAGGTTACATACTACAATTAGTAGTTCTGCAATTTCACATTTGAGTTCCTTTAGAACTCTTGAGTTCTGAAGGATCTCAGACCCTGAGTGTGGTGTGAGGTCTGAGGGTGACTTGATTCCATCAGGCTGCCAAAAAACTGAAATCTGTTAGAGAGAGGTATCATTTTTCTGGAAGCTGCTCCTATGAAATCCGTAGTCCTTGTAGGAGTCAAAGTGGACTTTCTTTGTTTACACAGACCTCTGAATGATATCAGAAGATGGAGTACGAATATGGTTGCTGACTGGCCCTCTTGGCTTGATTTGCCTGGTCCTAGCCCATCATCCACATACAGGAAGACCTGTAGCTATTGCATCTCATCTGGGCTACCACCACAGAGAAGACTTTCATGAAGACCATGGGTACTCTCACCAGCCTGAATTGGAATACTCTGAACTGACTGTGCTCTTGTCCTACCATGAATCTGAGAAACCTTTTGTGGGAGTGGTGAATATCCATATGAAAGCAAACACTTCATGTCAAGGGTTGTGATCCCTGTGTTCTGCTCCAGGGAGGGAATTATTGATGGCAGTGTTATCATGAAAATCTTGCAAATAAATACATTTAGTTGAATAGATTGAGAATTGGTCTCTATCCTCCATTTTTCTTGGGAACTGTGAAATATGGGGAGTAGAACCCCTTTGGTTGGGGTGATATGTGGTCTAGGGTCCCTCTCTGGAGTAAAGTTATCCTCCTGATGAAGGCTCTCCTCTTGAGAGGGGGCCAGGAAGAGAGTTTGTGGTGGGGAGGTGAGAAACTCAATTGTGTAGCCAGAGTAGATGATCTCTAGTACTCGTCTGTTGTTGTCACCCTCCCATTGAGTGTGTAAAGTGATTAAGACACCCACCAAGATAAGGGGCAATACAGGATGCCATCAATAAGTACACAGTCCTTGGTGTCCTATCAAAAGAGAAACCCTTGGATGGGACTGGCAGAGGTCAAAGCTGCTGCGCAACCCTTTGTCATTTGCATGGTGGTTTGTAAAGATGCTGGAGATAAAATGCTGGGCAGAGGGAAGGTCTGTTTGCTTGTAGCTGTTTCTCTTTGGGGCTGGGTGTAAATGCCTAGAGAGAGGAGTGTGTGTAGTGACTTTATTCTCATTGAAGAGATTAAATTTTTCAAAGGGGAAATCACTCAAGAATACTCTGGATCTCCCTGCAGAATGCCTAACAATGAAGCCTCATGACTCTAGCTGCGTTGTCAGCTGTGTCCCCTGGTGTCCAAAGTGATGTCTTAGACACCAACCTGCTTTCATGAGTGAGGGCTTTGTATGTTGAGGGAGTAAAGCTGCTGTTCCTCCTTTGAAGTGTGCTGTTTGGGAAAGAAGGTCAACAGATCTATGGATTGGTTGCGGTAGAAGCAAGAAACCATTGTCAGTAGAAATCTGGGATGCCAGTTCAGTGAGACGTTGTCCTGATGGAATGTGGAGAAAGAGTGATTTACTATCAGTTTGCCTGTCCTTCCTGCAGAGGTAATAGTGACGAGGAAAGCGAGAGGGAACAGCAGGCCAGAGGTTCAAAGGGCAAGTTCATCAGTGCGGTAAGGACAAGGTTGAGGAGCAACAGGCTGCATGGGCAGGTATTTGCATGTAAGGCCCTTCCAGTATCAGGCAGTAAAAGGATGAGTGAAAACCGAATGTCCCTCCACAGGCGGTTGCAAAGCGCTGATAGCTGCTACGTGCACTTTGCTGGAGCTGAGAGAGCTCTGAGGACTTCAGATGGGAAATAGTCTAAGAGCATTGGGATGGTAGGCCCAGGAAGTGAAACGTGTTCATTGGAGTTGGTGACAATGTGACCCTTGCCAAGGCACTAAAAGCCCTTACTTGTTTTTGTCACTGACTGAGAAGGGACAGGGCAGGAGATTTTCTAGTTTTTACAACTTTCTCCATTGGAAATAGTTTTTTACATTATTGAAAACAGACAACTTCTAGTGGACCCAGAATTCTCTTACCGCGGCATAGTCTGAGCTGGAACTGAAGAGGGGTTAATCCATGCCAGGTGTTATGCCCTTTAGTTGGAGCATGAGAGCAACTGTATGTTGACCAATGGATACTACTTGCTCCAAACCTCTCATCTCAGTTGCACAAAGCACATGCATACCCAGAAGTGCACTACACATCTGGATCAGCACTCAAACAAGAATTAAGTTATTTCCTTCTTTAGGAAAGTGACTGCATTACCAACTTGGCCTGGAAGGAATTCCAGAAAACTGCAACTGTTATTTCAAGATTCAAAAAGGACCAGTGTGATGAGCTGACTAACCAACTGAGTTTATCTAACATTAAACCTGGGCAAAACAATGGAAAATTGACATGGTATTCAATTGAAAGGATAGAACTAATTAAAGCCAGTCAATCTGGTTGATGGAAAACAGCTCAGATCACACACTTCATTTAATTATTGGTGAGATTATTGTGATACCTTTAACCACAGTTGTAAATCAGCTGTCTTTGCAAGAGTTAGGATCCTGCAGTCTTTGAACTGGCTTTCTTTTCCCTTAGGTGTAAGTGTTCTGATCTCTGTGTGGATTTAATAAAGTCTAAACGCTATAAATAAATCATCTGAGGCTATAAAAAGCAGCTCAGGTGTGTTACTATATCTATTCATCCTATACAAGTGAGAGTAGGAAACTTCTCCCATAGCCAGGCTACATCTACAGAGGGAGCCATGATTCCCTGGCTGCTGTACAGATATTCACAATAGCTCTCATCAAGGTAATGCAAGTATAAATAGCAGTGGAGTCTTGGTAGCACTTGTACATATGTACTTGGCCCAGTTCACCAGTGCTGCCACTGATACTGCTTGTGCTATGTTGCTTTTTATACTCACATAAATACATGCAGGTGAGCTGGGGAAATAATACCCCTTGTAGCATAATCTCAGCCTGGAGGAGCAGAGTTCATTTTCCAGTGATACAGAAGAAGCCACACTGGAGCCATCTTTCATGGAAGGGGTGGGAAGGGAAGGAGAGAAGAAACCCCTTTGTCCATAGGGGTAGTCTGTTGTTTGATTCATGTTAAGGGATATTTCCTACTTTTAGTCAAGTTAAATTTGTAAATGTCAGCTAGTCTTTAACACATTAAACAATGTAAAATAGTTTCTGACGTGAAAGTATGAAATGTTTATCAGAATGACAGCTCATTCAAAGCTGATGCCATCTGTAGTTTTGTCTTTTGCTGGAGCAGATTGCTAATATGACCAGAGTAACTATTTGACTTTATTTTTAGTAGTTTCAGGTCACAAAATTCCATCACCATCTATTCATTTCCCTCCCCACAACATAAGTGGGAATAGCAACAAGTAGCAATTTTACTTCTATATTTGGTCTAACTTGCAATGAGCCTGTGACTAGAGTTGGTGTTTTTATAAACTCTTTACAGTAAAAGGGTAAGGAAATTGCAAATTCCATGCTATGGAAACTTTCCCCTTTGGGACTACATTTACTTACCCCAACTCTTCAATATACTAAATATTGAAGCTCTCTGAATTTATCTAATAACCCCTTGAAACATTTTACATAAGCCATCATATGACAACCTAACCACTTAACTGTACACTGTGACAGGAGCAACAGGCTGCAACCAGGAACTGTGGGACAGCTGTGTCTCCAACCTGGGCTGTCTCTCACAGTGCTTTGTCAGTGCCAAGGAGAAAATCTCTCCAGGGACTTATCACTCAGCCACCAGCATGCAGAGGCAAACCAATCTAAGCTGCATGAATGCTCTCCACGCCATTCATGAACCATACCTAGGGAAACATTAGCAAATCTTCCCAAGCCTTACACCCCAATAATATACCATTTTACACTGCTCAGGACCTTCTCTTGAACAGTTCAAGCTTATTAATTAGTATGCCACTTCATCCAAGGAAAGGGAACATGCAGCAGCCTTTGTAATCTGAGCAGATTCCCCCAGTACTTTAGACAAACTTGCTGGTAAGGGTAAAACAAGTTTACTGACTACAGAAAAGAGATTTTTTTTACGTGGCAGACATAAGTCAGAGAAAAACTAAACATTTTAAATGCTAAACTTTTACACTAAGACTACACCTACACTACAGACTTTACAGTGGTACAGATGTGCAGCTGTAAAGTCTCCCCTGTAGCTGCTCTTTGCCAGCAGGCAAGAGCTCTCCTGCCAGCATAATTAAACCACCCCCATTGAGCCATATTTAGCTATGTCAGCCAGGGGTGCGGTTGTTTTCATACCCCTGACCAACAAAAGTGGTAGTGTAGACAAAGCATAAGCAAGAGTTGAATCTGCTTTTCTCAACCCACTGGATGTTGCAGGTAGGTTGCAGATCTTAATACAGTCTGAGTTTCCTTCTCAGTCTTTGTCTTCCCAGGATTCTTGTTGCCTTTGGCATAAGTGGGGGAGGAGAGAGGTCATCTCATGATGTCATTGTCCCTTATTTTATACTCTTAGTCCATGTTCTTGGACAGAAACTGGCCCAGGCATGCCTTGCTGAGTCAGAGAGTTGAACAATCCTAATTGTGTGGTTCTTGTGTAACTGTCTTATTGAATTGTAGATTTCTTGTTTACCATTCTGATCAATTGTAGTTTTAACACCCCCTTGGGTGTGGGTCACCACCCTCAGCCACTGGAGAGCTAGCAGTGGGCGAGTCCCAAACTCTCAACATATTTCAACCACAACCATACAGCAAAATCTCATAACTTCATACACAATAGTGATGCACACAGTTTGACAGAACAATGAGTTTCAGCAGATATGGCATCTTACATGGCATGCTTTTTATGAAAAATCACAATATACAAATGATGAATATGGGGGTTACAGGGTGCTACTTTGAGATATAGCACGTAACAACTTATTCCAGACTTTGTATATCAGCAGGTGTCAAGTTTGCTGATTTTGCTGCAACTTCCATTAATTTTACCACACTTAACTCCCATCCTTTTCCTGATTATAAGAATTGATGGTGTCATTTAACTCAGTTACTTCTCTATCTTGGAGAAACACCATAAATGCAGTTCAGTCATATAATAAATTTAACCTGCCTTGGGTTATAGTGTCTACAAACTTGAAAACCCGGTTATCAATACTATGAATAGAAGTCTACCAGAACTTTCCATGCTTATAGCCCCCACATCATAAATCAAAAGTTATAAATCAATGTTGATTCAGCACCAATGTTTTTTTTGAAAAAAAATGGCTTTTTTTTTTGTGTGTGGAGGATGCTGATAGTGACAGACATGCTTCAGCTCTATCTCCTTCACACTGGGAGAACAGTATGTTTGTTGCTCAATGCTCTGCACAGTATTTCTCAGGGTGAAGATGAAATTGACTTCATTGCTGCCTTTTTCCAACCTGCAAAACAATACATATTTTAAGTATAAACCTCTCAGGGTGAATGGTCACTATCTGGCTGCTCTCCACCATTTTACAAATAACTTATAATTTCCTCACTCTCCACCATCATTGCAGTACTATTTTAACATGTAGCAGCTGTTCAGAAGCAAAACAGAATAGGTCTTAAGCATGATGATCATTTCTTCTCTGTGAATTGAGCTGCAGAGGATGCCAATCATTATTTTGAAGATACTATTTTCTCTACAAAGTCTTCCTTTAATTCACTTGCAGTAGTGGAAGGAAGTATCAAAACATTTCATTCCACCTTGAAAAATTAATTAGAACTGGCTTAGATCGGAGTACTGTCCCAGAGCAGTTTTCAGACCAAGGGCCTTAAAAAGTATGATGAGGAAAAAAACCCAGACAGTGTAGTGAAGCACTGGGTAGGGGTTAGTTTCACAGATTACAACACAGGAGGTTCTGCACAAAAAATAATGCAAAGGGAACTAGAGGAGTTGCTGGTCTACATTTAATTGCATGGGCACAAATAGCCACATCACAAAATGCACCAACAACTGCCAGCCCTATCAGCAGTCTCAGAGGGATCAGAACTGAACAGACACAGAAGCTAATTACCTTCTCACCCCCCAACCTGGTCCTTCTACTTCAGGTTTCAGGTACATGAGCATGGCATGCCCATTCTACCCGTAGAACGAGTACAGTTTTCTCCCCAACAGCCCCGGTAAGAGGTCAGAGAAGGTTATTTTCCCCTTCCACAATGTACCACAGTTAACATCAAATCAATCTGTCATGACTAAGGCTGTATGTCTGTCATGGAGGTTACGGATTCCGTGACTTTCCGTGACTTCTGCAGCTGCCCGAGCTGGGCAGCACCATAGCTAGCAGCAGTTTGGGTGTGTGGGAGGGGGTTAAGGGCTGGGACACAGGGTTGGGATGGCACTTACCTGGGGCGGGTCCCCGGCTCCCACCGGCATGTCCCTGCAACTTTTCCGCGGAGGGACCAGGGGGCTCTGCGTGCTGCCCACGCCCCCAGGCACTACCCCTGCAGCTCCCATTGGCAGCTGCGGAGCCGGTGCTTCTGGCAGGAGCAGCACATGGCGCGCCCCCTCCCCCCCGGCCGCTCCTCCCCCTAGGAGCTCCAGGGACATGTCAGTCAGAGCTGGGAAGGGAGCCTGCCAGCCCCATCAATCTCCCCCCACTCCCATCCCAGCACCCGCAGTGGCCCCAGCCTGCTCCCCTCCCTCCCTCCCCCCAGAGCACCCACAGCCCCCCGGCTCAAGTTTTAGTCGAGGGTATACAGTAAAAATCATGGGCAGGTCATGGGCCATGAATTTTTGTTTACTGACTGTGACCTGTCCATAACTTTATTAAAAATACCCATGACTAAAACGTAGCCTTAGTCATTTCATTATTACTATTTTCCAGGCATTTTTCCTCTCATTGAGTATCTCTCTTCAGATTCTTTTTTAACTTGCAACTCCTCAGGTTGAATCTCATTTCCTATTAAATTTCCTGTTTGCTTGACAGCCCTATTAAAAAACAATGAAAAAAATTAATCGTGATTAATCGCGCTGTTAAACAACAATAGAATACCATTTATTTTAAATATTTTTGGATGTTTACTACATTTTCAAATATATTAATTTCAGTTACAACACAGTGCTCGCTTTATATTTATTTTTGATTACAAATATTTGCACTGTAAAAAAAATTATTTTTCAATTCACCTCATACTGTAGCGCAATCTCTTTATCATGAACGTTGAACTTACAAATGTAGAATTATGTACAAAAAAAACTGCATTCAAAAATAAAAATGTAAAACTTTAGAGCCTACAAGTCCAATCAGTCCTACTTATTGGTCAGCCAATCACTCAGATAAACAAGGTTGGTTACAATTTGCAGGAGATAATGCTGCCTACTTCTTGTTTATGTCACCTGAAAGTGAGAACAGGCGTGAGCATGGCACTGTTGTAGCTGGTGTTGCAAGATATTTACGTGCCAGATGCACTAAAGATTCATATTTACCTTCATAATTCAACCACCATTCCAGAGGACATACTTCCATGCTGATGATGGGTTCTGCTTGATAACTATCCAAAGCAGTGAGGACTGACGCACGTTCATTTTCATCGTCTGAGTCAGATGCCACCAGCAGAAGGTTGATTTTCTTTTTTGGTGGTTTGGGTTCTGTAGTTTCTGCAGCAGAGTGCTGCTCTTTTAAGACTTCTGAAAGCGTGCTCCACGTGTCATCCCTCTCAGATTTTGGATGGTACTTCAGATTCCTAAACCTTGGGTCAAGTGCTGTAGCTATTTTTAGAAATCTCACTTCGGTACCGTCTTTGGGTTTTGTCAAATCTGCTGTGAAAGTGTTCTTAAAACAAACGTGCTGGGTCATCATCCGAGACTGCTATAACATGGAATATATGCAGAATGCAGTTAAAACTGAGCAGGAGACATACAATTCTCCCCCCAAGGAGAACAGTCACAAATTTAATTGACGCATCATTTTTTTAATGAGCATCATCAGCATGGAAGCATGTCCATAGCGGCCAAACATGGAAGGGGCATACGAATGTTTAGCATATCTGGCATGTAAATATGTTGCCATGCCGACTACAAAAGTGCCATGCAAACGTCTGTTCTCACTTTCAGGTGACGTAAATAAGGAACAGGCAGCAGTATCTCCCATCAATGTAAGCAAACTTGTTTGTCTTAGCGATTAGCAGAATAAAAAAAAGAGGACTGAGTGGACTTGTAGGCTCTAAAGTTTTACACAGTTTTATTTTTGAATGCAGTTATGTAACCAAAAAAAATAAAAAATCTGCATTTGTAAGTTACACTTTCACGATAAAGATATTGCACTTCAGTACTTGTAGGAGGTGAATTGAAAAATACTATTTCTTTTGTTTATCATTTTTACAGTGCATATATTTGTAATAAAAAATAATATAAAGCAAGCACTCTACACTTTGTATTCTGTGTTGTAGTTGAAATCAATACTGAAAATGTAGAAAAACATCCAAAAATATTTAATAAATTTCAATTGGTATTCTATTAAGTGCGATTAATCGTGATTCATTTTTTTAAATTAATCCGGTGAGTTAACTGCGATTAATTGACAGCCCTATTTTTTACCCAGTGAATTAGGAGTTTATGAAAGATGATGCATATACAGCCCTGAAAACTGAAGTTCTCTCCCTAGGAGTGGTAGGGGCACATGGGAAAGCGGCAACTCCACAGGAGTGGTAGGAATAGGAGACTCAAGCTTATAGGGGGAAATAAGCAGGAGACGGATCCTGTATCAAAAGTCCTAATTTTCATTCCCAAAACAGAATAATTCTAGGATTCCATATGCGATTTTCCAATGCTTATATTCATTCATATACTTTGTGAATCAAATTTTCCAGCATGTTAGCTTGATTGTACAGGTTGTGGTGGGGTGCCTCAGTGTTCCTCAAAAACACCACCCTGGCTCTCACCCTATCCATTGCCCTAGAATTCTTCTCTTGTCCCTTTTTTTCCTTCTTGACATCTCCCTTCAGCTTCCCCTCCCTTTACAAACCCCATCCCAACAGAATCAGCAGTTAGAAATGGAGGGACCTGTTAGATCCATTCCCTGCCAATGCAACTTTCCCTAAATTTTACTTTTTCTCATCCACACCTCTTTTGTCCATAACCTTAATATACTGGCTTTAAAATCCTTGATCAGCCTCACCCTTTAACCTTATGTATTCCACTGCACCCCATATTCATGGTGCACTAGGCTATTCTTAATTCTCCTCTCCCTAACTACTTACTGAGGATGGCAAAACCACTGGGAAGGCTCTCTCACCCCACAGTGACAGGCAGAGTATAAAAACATAGACAGAGAAATAATTATCTATCTGAACTCATCCTGACTGATCATTTCAACCTTTGCAAATTTTGCTTAAGATTTCTTAAGTAATGAAACATCAAACATCACTGTATTCAAGCAATCACAATGATCTCATCTCCATAATGTATTTTTTTGTAAAAATCTGGAATATTATGTTCTATTTTTATGGGAGATGCCATAACAGATAAAACTCCAGTTATCTTTCAACATATATGTGAATCAAACATTTGTTTGTTGAGTATCTTCAGAGATTAGACACATTTTAGAATGGATGAAATTTTCATAGAATCTATTTTAGGCCTTGTTTATATCACAAGTTGCAGCCGTTTAACTATATTGATCTTAAAAAAACAGACTTTCAGTTAAAGCAGTGCAAGCCTGCATGCTCTAAACCTGGTTTATACTGATTTAGTTTAATGAATTGATTTATGCTAAATTGAGGTGTCCACATAGGAGTTTGGACCACTTTAAATCAATTTAAAAAACACACCTTTAGTTAAACTGGTGCAACCTGTAATATACACAAAGCTTCAGTTTTAGACCAAGTGGGAGAACTTGGTGCCACAACATGTATTTACACATTGTGCGTTCCACAACACTAGCCTTATATATATCCTGTATATGTATTAGATCAACATACTGTTACTCAAGCCCTCTCCTCGCAGAGGAAGCAAAGGGAAACACAAATTCAACAAAATATTAAAAGACTAAGTCTGTTAACATAATGGTTGATAGAAATGGTAAGTGTCAAAGGATATAGTAATTGTTACCTGAAGATAAGATTCAAAGGTATTGGTGGAAGTGTATGAACAAATTACTTCATCAAATTAAATGCAAAAACAAAAAAACCCAACAGTCTCATAACTGTCAGTAATTACTAAATAAAAAGTCAAAAGTGCAAATACATACCTGAAAGTAAAAAAAAAAAATGGCTTCAGGATCTTGACCTTCTGTACTCTTAAGACAGAGCAGAACTTTTTTTTTTAAACCAATCTTCATCTGCATTTTAGCATTTTAATTTTAACCTAGAAAAAATAATAATATGTAGTTATAGTCAATTAAATATCTGTGGCATTTTAAGCAAAATAAAACAATTACCTACATGGTAGTGGGCCCCATATTGTTCAAAGTACAGTAATTCTTCCCTTCCCTAACATATGAACTTTTAAAAGGTAGAATTATTGTAGGATACAACTTATGACCAAAATTGAAATTACCTCCTCACAAATTCATTTTCATCTCTAACCATAATTATATTACCATTGCCTCCACTATAAGCAGTTTTCCCTACTCTTAATTACTAAGATCTTTAAAATCTGTTCTTGTACCAGTCAGCCAACAGCCAGTTGCTGTTTCAGTCATTATGAGTTCCTTTGTCATTATATTGCTATGAACATTTCAGCTCCAAGTGCAGTTCTACTATGAAAAATGTGTATGACATTAGTTCCCTCTGTTCACTCAAACACACTGAAGGATTTGAGAATAAAACTAGGTTCTTTCCTTCTCATGTTACCACTAGTAGAAGATTCTGCCAAAGCAAGCCCTCAGTAATATCTGTGCAATCCCAGTGCCTTCGGTGGAATTTCACAAGTGTATTGCAATGTTGTACATAATTCTGCTGCTAGTGTGCAAGCAGGAATAGAATTCAGCTCCCTCCCCTCTAGCTCTGCAGAATGAATATAACTAGCAGATATACAAAGCAGTAAACACTATCTAAAATCAGCAGATTTCTCTGAATTACAAACAGGGAGCAAATCTGTGGCATAAGGAACCACCATATTTTTTGCAACATTTCAGAGCAGAATCATATTTTAATATGTTTAAATATGATACATTTAATCCATGCAGATCTTTAATATTAAACTGTAAAGATTAATACTCAAGTTTAAGACATTTGTGGTTTAAAATTCTTTAGAAAAATATATATTCAACTTAAATACAAGATTTGCTCACTTTAAATATAAATGCAGCCACAACTTTAAAGAGCAATTCATAATACAAGTTAGTACTTTTAACAGAAATAAAATTATAATTAATATTTTACAATGAATGTTAACATAAAGCACAAAAGAGTCAAAGTAATTAGTTATTTTAAAAACTAACAGGGGCATCCCAAACTCTGGGTGCCCCTTAGAACACTTAACATTCAGAATCATCAAAAATTCAGACCGTTTAAATCCACCGCCTCCACAAATCAATCTGGCCCCAAAACTTAATTAGAAAAAAAAAGAGCCCCATTTAACCCTCATCTTCTTTCTTTATTTCTGCGTGATCTAGACTGATCCTCAGCTAGCTAGTCTTCATTCACATCCCATTCTCCGTAGACATCTGGGCATCCATTCCACTACACCAGTGAGACTAGCCATAATGTAATTATTCAGCTGGGTATCCTCTGCCTACTGCAGACACTATAGCCCATATACTCTTACTAGCACTTCTAAAGGGCTCATACTACTAAGAACTACCGCTACTATCTAGCAGCACTATCTCATGATCAAGTGTATCAAAAGTAGACTATATACATACATCTCTCTAATAAAATCAGCCTGGGCATGCTTTCAATACTCTACCCACAAGAACACCAACTAACAACACTAGTGCAGTTTCTATCCCACATCCAGGTCTAAACCCAGACTGACCAGGGTTATGCCAAATAAATCTGTTAGTTTTTAAGGTGCCACCAGACTCCTTGTTGTTTTTGTGGATACAGACTAACACAGCTACTCCTCTGATACTGGAAATATTGGCATTCTGCTTCACTGCCACCTTCTGTAAACTTTTCCATACATGGGAGATTCAATTGCATCCTGGATGAGATTATCAGGGTCAAAATGTGATTTCCTTTCTATGTAGCAGTCCCAACTCCATCCTCAGATAAGGAGGAATTGACAATCTCCATTAACAAAGTACCCATTTCTCACTACTGACTTTTATCAGACAGAGGGGACAGTGGTGCAATAAGCTGGTGCCCCAACATTTCCAGGTGTTTAGTGAGTAACACTGGTCAAAACTCAATCAAGCAGAGAAGACTTGGCTTTTGAATACTAAGACACTGCTCTGCACCCTCAGATATGGCAAGTTCCACGTGAAATCCCAGGGTTTTTTTTTTTTTTAATCTTCAATGTAACCAGAAAAATCCTTGCTAAGAAAAACTCAACTGGTCCCAGATGAAGACAGCTCACATTTACCAAACTATCCACTGCCGCTGTAGAATTTGGCTGAGAGAGACTCTGCAGTGTTGCCCTGGATTTGAGGGGTCTGTGGACCCCAGAATGTGATTACTAATTGCAACCATATTATGCACATTCACCCACGGTGAATTAATAAAATAGAACCCACCCAGCATTGGAATAAGCAGGCTTTTGAAGGCAAGGTCAAATGCTAGCTGTATGCTGGCAGGTTCTGCTAATCAGAATTGGGGAGAGGGTTAGAGGGGGGAGGAGGGGAGGGAGAAAAGTTATTAAAACTGAGACTGAAATAAAATAAGTGGACAAAACCCCTTAAATCTGGGCACCTTCAATATAGGTTTATTATGACTAAGATTGTTAGGAATGTTTGTTGATACATAGTTTTCTGAAAAGTGATGACCCAGTAGAGGTCACTATGACCTGTGTGTTTTGTAAAAGTTAGTTATAAAAAATTAGCTAATGTAGTGTATTTTAGAGCAGTCCTCTGGAGCTATCTGAGGAGAGACTTTTTTTCTGACACCTTTACTCCCTGAGGTGGAAGCGAATGGCCATCATGGACCTGCTGTTAATTACTCAATATTGTACCAGAATTTAGGTAAATATTTGGGCTGTTCTAAACCTATTGCTTATGTCTGTGTGCGCTTAAATCTAATAAACTGCAGTTTTAGACAAGAGCACACTTGTATCAATTACCATCAGACGGAATGGCTGCATTCCCACTGATTTATTCCTGACATCACCTGAAGTGAAACAGCGAAGCTACCACTGCTGTGGGTTCTGAAAACCTCAGATAACAACAGATCTATAGTTAAAGCAAAGGAACTCTTGCCTGCACAGCCATGGATTAAGTGTTTTAAAATTATTTATATCGTATGTGGTTGGTCTCCACTCAGGACTTCCAGTACTGACACTGTCTGTGCTCCCTCATTTCATCCACTGCGAGCTATCTGAAAACCAGGATGACATGTAAGGACAAAACTATAGGAGAAGGCATTTAGGAGCCTTCTATCACTAGTCATGGAGAAAGTATCTCCCATCAAAGACCTTCAAGTATGCCCATTGTCTGTACAACACATGCCCACAGAGCCCATGAATCCTATCCAGTTTCATTGATCTCCTTGAATGGACCATCAAATCATTTCCCTTTCCCGCAGTGGAATAAAGGAGAACCCCAACCTCAAACCACAGGAGGTAATGGCTGTCCCATAAGGACATAAATGTTACATCTCCAACCTCCAAACATTAGTTATATTGCTATACATATAGAGCCAAAAACTATGTGGGATAATTCCCATAACTGTCTCAAACTCCTGGATCCATCTAGATGAATTGTCATTTGGACAGATATTGAAGTTTCTGAGCATCACCACTATTTGCCATCACTTCCAACACCATTTTAGTGAGGTACCTAAAATTCAGCTAAGGAATAATGGGGTGCAGTAGGGAAATCTATACACCAACTTTAAGTAAAGACAAAGCTCCTTGTGAGCCATCATTTGATGTTTCCATGTCTATACTTAGCAAAGCTAATAAAACAGAGATTTTCTTTTTGCTATTACCTACCTGATCTTCCCACTACCCACCACCACAAAGCCTGAGGAACCCAAAGCCTGCAGAGAGTTCCCCTCAACTTCCTATCAGATTCTCAGTGCACGATGGCATTGTTACACTTACTTAGCCACCTAGAAGTAGTTACTGACGGAACAAAGCTGCTGGAACTAGGCTCCCACATTTCCTGGTCAAGCTTCAAAAGACCATTTCAACACTTGCCCAATACACACCTCCGATCCTGTTCATTAACCTCCCCATCTCATTTAATCTTTAAAACCTCTCTCTCCATCTGGAAACAACCAAACAAATCCCTGCCACATTCCACCTAACCAAATCTTAGTCCTTTTCCATAAACCTCCTTAATCTTAAGGATATCACACCCAGGATATACGTATCCTATTCAAATTAGTAGTAGACCCTTATTCTGGATTCTCATAATCAGCCATTTTTGTTTCATTTTCAAATGCACAGTTGAAATAATTTACCCTTCCATTGTAGATGTTTACATTCAGATATTTTAAAATCCTCCAAAATACATTAAATGCAGCAGGATCAGAATAAAGAGCTGTCAGAAGTAGCTGTCACATATATCTGATACATGAAAGGGTCTGGATGTGATTTAAAAAAGAAATGGTGTATCTCAGCACAGGTTCAACTGGGCCACAAGGTCAAGTTACGGAGGCCAGTGATGCTGGTGAAGGCTGGCTGAAGCATGAGGGGTTCAGAGATAGGTGATAGGAAAGGAGGAGGAAGGGTGAAAGGTCTAAGACACAATGACAAGTAACTTTCCCAATATGAACCAGCCTCCAAAAGACGCCGTAGCAAACCTCCAAATTTTACTACCCTCCCAGCTTCAAAAACTATCCTGTACACTCATTACAAGCAATGCAATCTTCACAACTTCCACATTCTCATGTACCACACTAACAGATAAGAGCCCTCAATCTGCCTTCCTCCATAATAGCCAATCTCCATCTGAGGCCCCAGTTAATAGTTCACCTACTATATATGGGCCAATGTTGGTCAGTCCTGCTTTAGAACTGTTCTTTTTGGCCAAAAGTGAGGCTAGCTAAAACTGGATTAACCACAAGGGCAAAATAAATAGGTAGGTATCATCCTTGTAACCATAGCAAACCAACAGAGAGTCCTGTGGCACCTTTAAGACTAACAGATGTATTGGAGCATAAGCTTTCGTGGGTGAATGCCCACTTCGTCGGATTTCCTCTCATAGCAAACCAGTGTCAGTGGCTTTCAGCAATCTGAATCCCAATAAACACATTTGTAAGAAGTGATGTTTTATAGAGTGCATTTTTCCATCATTAAATTGATTACACAAAATGTATTTAATTACACTTATTTTAATTAAAAAGCATGTATAATACTGAAACAGAATTGTCTCAGCTAGTGAGAGCACAGGGATATTACAATGCTAGTGATCCCTACACTCTGATTCACATAATAGCCATACAGTTCAACAACTATGATTATATCCCTTTGTGCTCTGACTGGCTACTCTCATCAGAACCAAATCCCCATAATAAACTATGCCCTCTCAACTCTGGCCCCTCCCTGTCACTCTAACCTAAACTGTGGGGTAGAATTTAATTAAAAAGTAATTACTCTTTGTTAGTGAGGACTAGATGGAGTATTCTGATGGCAACAGCTGAGCTCAGAGATTTATACTAGCTAGATGGAGTGCACAGATGAGGAAAGATCACTTTTCGGTATAACAACTGGAAGTTTCATCATGTTAATTAAGCTAAAGAGGTTTGGTTTTGGTTTTTAATACCAGGATGTGGTTACTTACTCAATAAGTAGTAATACTTAAATATTATTTAAACACGTATGAAGTTGACAGCACGAAAAATATGCTCTATGTGAAGAGAGTAGAATGAATATAAGATCTAAACACTCTTGACTCTTTGCAAGCATACTACTGCAGCAAAATATTACTTCCTTCTAAGGCTCAGGGAGGTCTGGTGTTATTCTCTTCGGTAATCTAATGAAAGCATTAGCTCTTCAGTGCATGAGCTGCACATAATTAAACTAAACATACCAATATTTGCAAGTTAAGAACTTCTTTAAAATATATTATTTCCTTAAAAATTAATACACAATTTTGGTATGAATCTCTTAGTTAAAATCCCAAACACATAGCAGAAGTCTATCTATGATTTTATACCACACTCATCACTTACAGCCAAGCACCTTCTGAATCTTGTATTTCTGTTTTAACATTTGTACTTTGCCCTCATTCTCCCCGGACATAATTCCTTACACAGCTTCATTAGCTTGGTTGAGTGCACAGGCCGAGGTTGCTTCCTACTTTTTTCTTAACATAAATGACAATGTTAATTGTAATCTTTATATCTGGTCTCCCCTTCCATCCTGACCCACCTCTTTACTGTGTGTCTAGTTAAAATTTACCTGAAGATACAGAACTGCAGAGTAAATAGACTTCCATTGAAGTGGGCCATATGGCACTTTGACTTAGCCAGCAGGAAAAACAATCACTTTATGATACCCACTCTCCACCACACAGAAAGGAAGAACTCCATTTTTGAGATGCACTCAGGACATGTACTCCTTTGTGATTATGTATTTGGGGAAACAGATGTTATCGAAAAGAAACCTTCAGCCAGATATTCCGCACAGCTGTGTTCGTATTTGCATTTGTCCATTTGATTTCCTAGCAAAAGGTGACAGAGAACAACGCTGGTTGCTGAAGTATCAATAAAAAAATACAATATACATTTTAAAAATTGTCAACCATTGACTGTTTCCCTTAGCTTTCTATCACTTTCACTTAAGTATTTCTTATTCATTCAGGGCTGAATCCTGCTCAACTTAAACATGAGTATAGACCCTACTGAAACCAACTGGTGCATTACTGTCAATAAAACAAGCATAATTTGTTCCTTAAGAACAACAAATGTATCTCAGCAGACAGCTGAGAGAAGGCGGGATATCTGAAGGAATAATTAAAACAATTACACAGTACAGACCAAAATTAAACTGTTGTATATACCAAGGGTAAATACTGTGTCAACTGATGCCAAAGAAGGCATTTTTATTGGCAGAGAAGGGCTTATGAGTTGAAAAGACATTTTCCATCTGTTTTACAGTTTTCAGTTTACAGATTAGGAGATATCTGCAAAATTATCATTCTTGAAAGGAATGAGGAAATGTGAATATAGTACTATTTTCTTTCTAGGGGAACTTTTAATCATAAGGAAAAATGGTGGGAGATTTAATAGTGTTAAAGCAAATGTCAGTGGGGATAAAAGACAGCATGCTCAAGGGAAAGATTTCATTCTCTATATTTAGTCTTTTATTAGATCATATTTTATTCATGCCAGGATTTAAAGCAATTACTTTCTGAAGGATATTTGGACTTATTTGAAAATATTTATGAAACCTGAAACACAGCAGCTGCAGAGCTTTACGCAACGTAATTCAACTGAAATGTAAATCTGAAGATAGAATGGAATTTACAGCACCCTGTACATTTTTGGACATTAAAAATAATAATTCTTGAAAAGTCCCACAATTTATTTACTTGTAGTCAGGTGTTTCTAGATGTCAGACCATGTATCTTACAATTGTTAGCAAAAACTACTTTGCCTAAATTTAGAGCCTGATCTAAAGCCCACTGAAGTCAATGCAAAGCCTCCCAATGTATTCAATGGGCTTTGGATCTGACCAGCAAAAATAAACTGTTAAAAAAATTGACTTTAATAGATCAGTGAAAAAGCAAAGACAATGCAGTTTGTATCACAAAGATTTCCATTTGCCATGTGATGTGTAATGAAGATGTGATACAAGACATAATATTTATAAAACGCTTTATGGATTTTAAGTTGTAGAATCATAAAATATCATGGTTGGAAGGGACCTCAGGATGTCATCTAGTCCAACCCCCTGTTCAAAGGGGGACCAATTCCCAGACAGATTTTTACCCCAGTTCCCTAAATGGCCCCCTCAAGAATTGAACTGATAACCCTGGGTTTAGCAGGCCAATGCTCAAACCAGAGCTATCCCTCCCCTAAAAATATATATATAAATATAACAAATGGTATATTTTAAAATAAATGTATATGAAACAACTGGTCTTAAATGGGTAAATTTTGAATCTGGGTCTACTAGATCTCAAGATTGGCAGAAATGAGTCTGAATTGTTGGTTTATTCTGCTGAGTCAATGAAATTTGTGGTCAGACTGTTGATTTAAAATATGTATCAGTGGAATACTTTGATGTATCACCAAGTGATTTTTGTAAGAATTCATTACAAATATCTGTTGGAATTATTAGAAAACAGCAGTGTGTATTTACAATAGTTCTTTATACACTTTACATATGAACAAAGGGACTTTGATACAATTTCCACACTATCAATGTGAGATAATGGTATCTTGAAAGGAATAAGGAGGGTTTCTCCATTCAAAAAGGTCACACACAGTGATTAATACCAATCAATTTTACACTTAACTGCTAAGTGTACACAAGCATATCATTATATTTTATATTATTATTAGATAGCTATGAAATACAAAGTTGCTCAAAGAGGGAGACTGAGAATATACAACCTTCTCCCCAACATGGTAATCTCTCACTTGCAAACATTCTGAGGTGTAGCTGTGACATTAGATTCAAATGAAAAATAAATCAGTAAATTTTAGAACGAAAAGGACCTAAAGTCAGTGCAATCAATCATGGTCTTAAAATTGTGCTTATAAACTTAAGGAATTTTTTAAAAATTATGTTCCAACAGTATTTTGAATGATAGATTTTTCCAGTTACAGAAACATAGATTAAAGTGTGATCTACAAACAGAATTTGCACTGATTTACCTAAAGTCTGTTTTATAATTTAAAACAATCCCTTATCAAATTAAACTATACTGATATAAGCTACTCGGCAAACAGATTTAAGTCATTCCATGAAAAGTTTTGTACCAGTTTACATGAATTTTAAAACTGATTTTAGTTAAACTAGTGCAAGATTTGTATGTAGACCAAGTCTAGGAGAACGTTTACTTGTATTTACACTTTAGTAACACTATGTAAAAAATTACAAAACAAGCACAAATTTTCCAGCATACAAAAAGTATTTAAGTGTAGCTGAACCCTGGATATCTTAATTGCTAAGAGGACATATTTGAATTTCAGCAAACTATAAAATTTGGGAAAACAAAATTATAGTTCAGGAGATAGTTCTGAATTTTGCATAATCTGAATTACCGATAATCTGAGTTTATCCGTATTTCATAAATCAGGTCAGCATTTCAAAGTAAGCAATATTTAAGTTATTTAAATGCATTCCTTATGTTAAAGTATTAAAATAATTTTCAGAATATTTTAATATTGCTGCTTTATACACAAACTCAATGCTTCCCATTCCCTCCTGTGTATTTTTTCTTACCTGTCATTTTGCAGCAGGTACCAAGTAAGGGCAGTGTTCTAACATCCTCTTCCAAAATAATGACAGCAGATTTGAAAAGTCTTTGTAGGGCTACAACTTCTTAAACCATGACATGAATGTTCTAGGGGAAGGGCAAGGAAGGGCCGTGTTGCATGTCTTTGTAAAGATCAACAAATTTCAAGAAGTTTTATTCGAAGAACCCCCATCTTTTAAATCCTTAATTTAAAATTATAACACTGAGAATACATACATATATGCATGAAAAGGAAAACAGGTAGGAAACACATTTAGCAGCAGGCGTATAATTTATGCCAATTCACATAGGTCAAAAAATGAGACCAAATTTTATTTTATCTCAGTTGATCTATATTTTGAAAGAAATTATTTCCATTGCAGTGAAGTCCTGTACTCCCGTCACTGCTTCACTAGCGTATGCAGTCTCTTCCATTTCATAAGAATTCATTTCTTTATCATGATATAAGCACACAATAACTATTTAAAGCTTCTACTATAATCTTAAAAGAAAAAAATTCTAAATTTGATCTGAAACAAGGAACTAAGCCAGTATTTCAAGATAGCCACAGAAAATACACAAGCATCTTTAATAAATGGGAGCGTATGCCACAAATGCTTTACATCTTATAGGTCCATCTAGATGTAAATATATATATGAAATATATGTGTTTCAAATAAATAGTCAAAATACATATTTTGTTGGGATGGAGGCATATATGTGTTTCTGTTAAGACTTCCCAGGGGACAAAACCTGCACTAGTACAAAATCTGGGACAACTGATATTCAGCCTTGGACCATCATCTAAACAGCACTACTAAAAGCAAGGAACAAGTGATAAAGTTAAGTCTGGATATCTTCTGAAATATTAGGGCTAGAATTTAATGACCCACGTAACATTAGAAAGAAGCGGTTGGCTCTCAGGTTTACTATTATGCTATATCCATTTACAGCCTGGCAAGTTGTGAGCTATCAGAGTAACATCACAACAGTTTATCATCTTGCTTTTTTTTCCTATACGAATTCTGACAGAATTGCCACTATCTTTAGAACCAGAAATCAATGTTCAAACTATTTTAGAAATATTTTTAAAATAGGTGTAAACTGTTAACTATAAATTAGGAATAACTTTTGAAATCCATTTTTAAAAATCTGACCCTTAGTCTTTAGTTTCTGGAGTTTGAGACATAATCACTAATATCAAGTCATAATTGATAGCAATAAAGTGAGTTCAAGTTCTGATAATAGTAAAGTAGTAATATTAGTAACATTATTATGCATCTCAATGCATTTTGCAGACATGAATTAAGACATGTTTGATGACTTTCTAAAAGATACACTCTAGTTCAAGCACAAATTACTGGGGTCGATGCAAGAATTACTTGATAAAATTCTAGAACCATAATGGCCCATTCTCACCTTAAAAGCTATCAGTCTATGAAAAAAGGCTCAACGCAGCAATGTGGTACGTTTTATCCCCATTTTACAGCTGGCAAAAGCGGAAGCAAAAGGACTGATTTGCCCAAGATTAACCAGCAAGTCAGTGGCAGAACTGGGAACAGAAGTCTCTTGACTCCCGGTCTGATGCCATTAACCACAAAATCATCCTTCAACCAACAGCAACTTACCATGCCTACATATGCCTTGGCAGACCAAGTCAAGTGCTTTCATGGCAAAACAACCTTCCCCAGCACTAGCCCTGGATGTATGGTCTGAAAGAGGCAAAAATACCTGATTTCCCCTCTTACCACCCTATCACACCCAAGTGCAGATCAGCTGATACCAGTTTCAAGATTAAACTATTATTTGTAAAACTGTTACCCAGACTGAAATATTTCAAGCAAAAGGTACAGAACTGCTGTAAGCATTATTTGGTACTGGATATAGCACTCAACAAAATTTCACTTTCAAAATATTAGAAGTTCTCAATATAACGCTCAAGTATTAGTGCGTCAAATCAATTATATAGCTTGCGCCTGTATCAGCTACATAGCAGAGGAAGGAGGGAGAGGTTACTCATCGTGAGCAGTAACTGGAGTTCTTTGAGGTATGTCCCCTTGTTGGCGCTCCACTTCAGGTGCGCTTGTACCGTGCACCTTTGATCAGAGATTTCTGGTAGCAGTGCCCATTCAGCCTGCACGTGTACCCCACACATTCCTGTGCCAAGATTCTATGGGCCTGAACAGGTAAGCCACCCTCAGTTCCTTCTCCACCATGAAGACCCATAACAGAGACTCCGAAACAGAGGGGAAGGA